ACATGATTGTAGTGAGTATTCACTACACTAACCTTGCTGAATTAGGCGATTTCTTCTAGATTAAAGGTTAGCAGCATGTCACAGTTCAGAACCTTCACAGTAGTGTGATGGGTTACTACGATTTTCCTTCTGACAGGCGAAAATGCCCGGGACAGGATCTGGGAGGACCGAAGCACTACGCGGTCTCTACTGGGCTGTAGGCGCTCTGGATATTCATCTGCACGGAGCAACTGTGGTCGCTGCAACAGCAGCTGAACGACTGCAATGTATAAACGCATCTACAATAGCAGCTACCGATAAGGTCGCGAGGCAACCCACAGGGCTACTGCGACATGCCGCAGAGCCTGGGAATGACGGAATGAGAGGAGCACAAGAAGATGTAAGACTTCTCAGTCATACTTGCAGCATTTACCTTCACAGGTGGTACGCAATAGTAAGCACCTACTAAGCAGTCGTCCAGTATATTTGATCTGCGCTTGAGGATTGGGTGCAGCATAGTGGGCAAGAGAGTGAGCGTGAGCATCACACTTGAATGCTCGGATATCCGCGGTCCAGCCTTTCAGGGGGCAATATCTAAACCAGAGACAACACTAGATAACCACAAAGCGAATATCATTGCGAAAGAACGAAATTCTGCTCAGGAAATCGAAAGACGCTCATTGCGTTCTCATCAGCATGGAGGTCATGCGGGGCAATTCCTAAGTATTTTCATCATCATCATCATCCATTGCGTATGTTTTCTTACAGCAGCGCTGCTTTCCTCGTGTTGAGCGAATCCACGATTCCTTCAGCCTCCCTCAGGAGCCGACCAACTTTCTACACCGTCGTTCAAGGACGACGATGCCCTCCTGGCATGACACTGAAGCTGAAAGCGGGTCTCTTGCTGGCGCGCCACGCCTTAGGAGAATATTGCACTCACCAGTCGAAAGTAAAGCACTCAAAGAACTGCGAAGAAGATGTATCAAGTGCTATAAAGGACTTCTAGCGCTAAAGACATACTCGGACAATGTACAATTTGTAGCATCTGTGAAAGGCTCCCACAGCTCACAGCGAAACGTACACTTTGAGAAGCATGTTGTAGGTGAAGGATCATTGAATGCTTTGGAAGGATCTGCCGACCTGCAAAAAGTAGCGGCTGCTGCGGCGCTGCTACAAAAAGCCGTGGCGATCGCGACAAACTTACCAGTGTTCCTTCAATCGGTTAGCTCAAAATCCTCCTTTGTTTTGCCCCCACGACGCCTGTTCAGCGGAGCAGTGGAACTCGTGAGGAAATATTGCTAAGGGCTGAGGATGTGGGTTGATTGCGCACAGGGCGAAAAATCGGAAAGAGCTGGCGTAATGCGCCTGTTTCTTCTGTGGGCAGCTGTGAGATGGATCCAGGACGTACGTCCAAGAGCCCGATATCCTCTCACCATATTGTTCTACGACAACCAATTGTTTAGAACAGGCCAACGTGCCCACCGAGTGCAATATTAGGTATATGCCGCGATCTGCTCTCAGGTCTTCGGTTTTCTTCATAATCTCGAGAATGAAACCCTCGTCGGCATGCAGGACTCACTGCGCTCACTAACTAGCGTTGAGGTTGCTGGAAATGCACAGTCCCCTGATTCTAGTAAAGATTCGGCAGGTGTAGAGAATTTCAAGCTCAACAGATCACCAATTACAGCCTGGACAGGTCCACCGCATGGGACATTCCTCACTTACGCCTTGCTGCACTGGGCAGCGTATGCTCCTGATGCTGAGCATGGAGAACGTGCTGCTGCTTTTCTTGGAAGCATATGCGCAAGCTATAAGTTGGCCCGGAGCAAAGACGCACTCCGCCGTGTACCGCACATTTGCAGGCCTTCATTGTTGTCTTGTCTTGCGCATCCAGTAATACTGAGCCACGGCTGTCATATACAGCGGCAGAGGCAGCTGCAACATCAAAAGCATCTTCAGAGGAAAACAGAGGAGATAGGGCACAGAACCCGGGCGAAAACGGTTGTGCGCCACATGCACACGCTTCAACAGGACGTACTGTCCTGTGAACAACTGCTGCGTTGCACACGGATACTAGAACGGCTTCTTCAGGTGCTGCAACTCTCCAAAGCTTTGCCTCAGCCCCATTTTGCAGGTTCGCCTCATTCCGAATGTACCGGTCCTGGCAAAGTTTGCAAGGACCTTTGTGTAGTCAGTGCTCACGTGTTACGCCTTCTCGCATTCTTGTTGGAAGCAAATAAGTGTAAAGGTCTTTGTGCAATCTGGGCTGGGGCGCACACGTGTGAGAAGTTCCCTTGCCTCAGGCAGGGAAAAGCGAGATAGCTTTAGTTTAAAGGGACCATTCAACAACATGGTGTAAACATTACACTTCCCTTCACGCACATAAATTTTACGAAAAACTAGTGCAAGCTCAAAGTGACATGCACTTCTATGCCCAGGGACTTTATCCAGAAACACTTGTACCTGGCATCCGTCTGTGCTGCTTGTGTATCCATACTCAAAAGCTGCTGCAGTACATCAGATTCATGTTGTGTTCCATCCTGCGGAGCTGCGTGACTCGCGATACTTTTTCAGTTCTAGCTGCCCCGACAGAAATACCGCTAGCCGCGCTGTTCAGCACAAGCTGTCCTGGAAAAATTCCTGATGAGAAGCATACAACGCAAACTGTCCACAGCGGATGTTTGTATCATGCTGTTCGCTTCCATATTAACCTCTACGACTCCTGCACGCTGTGAGGAGGCACCCCATAAGGGCTATTAACTTCTCACCGGGACACTAGCCAGTACTACACGAGATCGCATGCTTGCTTATGGCAAGGAAATCCTGCTTCTTTTGGGGCGGACCCTTCGAGCATGGGCTAGCCAAAGCATCGTTCCTTAGAATCCGTCTAGAGAACCCCAGCACCATTTCCAAATTATTTGGAAGTACAGAACCTGAAAAGGTGACCGTAATTTGAAAAGTTCGTTAAGCAGTTTGCTCTTATTCTTCCTAATAATGCACCGTTCATCGATAGCAGTGGCAGCTGGTTTCTCTCCAGTGGCTGTTAGAGAACCATGTGACCGTCTTTGCCTGGGAGATAAGGCACTTTGTGTGATTTCGTGCATATCCGCAGCAACGGCATCCCGCTTGAATCATTAGCATATCTGCCACTGAAATGCACAAAATCAGCCTCCACTGTTGTACTCGTATGGCGCTTTTTTGAGGCCGCTCCCGCAGTTAGCACCTAACCGCCTTTAGCCTTTAGGGCGCGGAGCTGCTATTCCAGAGAACCAGCGAACGATGGGTGGGTTTCTGAGAATGATTCGCCCAAGGGCAAAAAGAAGTTTCCGTAGAAGGAAAGCGGCTTTCTTCCGGAATTCCGCATACGAGTAGGGAGCTGAGGAAGCCTATTCCAGGAGGAAGATCTGGCAGTCGGTGTGAGTGAAGTGGTCTGCAGGGCCTTAGAAGCAAAATCAAAGTGACACACGCCGGGCGGACACAAATCCACTCATCCAAACCAAACGTGCTCGGCATCCCAAGTGCTGATGGCTGCCTTTGTAGGAGTAGAATGAACATATGGATTTTGGTTACCAGAGCACTGTGGCATCCCTCATCCTTGAAGACAATCAGTATGTGGAGACCCGCGAAGGACAAGTTAGCCGTGCTAATGATGCTCGTAAGGTTTACCTATTCATTATTGCATGTTGCGCTTTGCTGACGTGGGTAAAAGGATGCGCAGAATGCCTCCAATTTACCCGACTTGGGCCCGTCGGTGTTGTAAGCTGTTATGAAGGATAGGGGGAACTAGTGTTCCCTCATTCTAAGGGGGACGAGAACCTTAGTTCGAGCTGCAGACCTCTCGCCGCTGGGTAGAAAATAATTCTGTACATCATTTAAAATATTTTTTGTGGGGGGTCTTCTGCATGCAGGGCATTCGATCATGGCTTAAGTTAATCTTAAGTGGGCACATTCACTGTTTGGTTGCATCACTGCATAGTTTTTTGCTTATGAATAAATGACAATGAATTGCCGTTAGGTTTAGTTCGAATCGATGTAATATATCCCCTGGCCAACACAGATGGGGTGTCACTCACGTTTGGGTTTATTACCGCCGGGTCTACCATGCTGAACAGTGTCCAATTCCACGCCATTGGTTCTGTGATCCACGCTATTAGCTTATACATTAAGACTGAAATGTCCATGAGCGTTCTTAACTCTGCACTGTAATACAGAAGGCAACACAAGGCTACAGAAAAGTTGATTTCACAGCCGTCAAGGGTTGGCTCAAGAGACACCATCACAACACATAGTACGTGCCGTAAGCATTCACTAGGTAGGCGTGTAGCGAATAGTCTGTTGTGTTGGCGTGGAGCACCTGTAAAGNGCAATATTGGCGATAGATCCTGCCTAGTGGGCATCTGATTCATTTTAGAGTAACTTCCAAATTCTTCTCTACTCTGATATGCTGAGGTAATTTCCTATTATTGGCGTTCTGAGTGAGAGTTTTTGGTGTGCCTCTGATAAGAACAGTGAGCTCTGTGTGGGAGGAGATTCGAAGGTATTGCGAAGAATGTTTTAGCGGACGACGCCAAGACCGCCATCTCCTGGCGTGAAGCTCGATCCAAAACTGCGTGATCAGCTGGCTCTCTAACATTTGTCTCTACCTATCGAAACACTTTCGATTTTGCAGACGGTATAGCTGAGTTTACGAGTTGCAGACTGCGAGGGTTAATTAGCGGAGGACTTCGAAGATATGCGAGTCTCCTGCTCTTATGTGAACGACTTGGTGCATGCAACGCCTGCAGCGTACCAGTGTTGAGATGATATGAAGCACCTCAAATGAATGGCATTTTTGTTCTCTTGGAGTGGAAGTGTTTCTCTGAAAGCTACAGGCATAATTTCTGGCGACAGAGGGGGGAACCCACTGGTGTTGCTGCAAGATCGTCAGTCGAGATAGCTGCAGAACGCCGCCTCGCAAGGAGTACTAATATTGATCCAGATCACTCTAGCTTGTATCCTTTTATTTTCCGGCGCACTTGCAAATGAGCGATGCAAGTACGACGACCGTGGCTGAGGGTGGGCGTGATGTTGGTGGTGTCTCTGGCATCTTCAGTTCTACGTCGACAGCCGGCTCACCGGAGCTATCAAAGGGAGATTCTTTGCCTTCGGTCAACACCGAAGGTACGGGAAGTATCAAGAATGTAGCAGTTCCTGCGTCATCAAATTCACCCATGCCCAATTTGGTCCCAGGTCTTGAGGCTGTCTTACGCCGCAACCTGCGTGGAGGCCCTACAGTTCTATCTAGCCTAAAGACAGATATCCGAACATCCAACCCAGCATGCTCAATGCTTCTAGGAGACGCTGACTTCTGTGTAAAGCCTGACAGGCCAGATGGTGTGCAGGATACTCTTGGACTAACTGTTCTCGACGAATCCGCGGTGCTCCCTACAGACGATGGTGCGCCTCTTCTAGGACTCCGAACATGCCTGCCATCAATTGGTGATAATCAAGTGGAAGGCAGTCCAAGCTTGACTGACAGAGTTGAAAACACGCAGGTGCTATCTCGGGATGTCGAGGCTTGGGTAACCTCAGTGAAGGCCCATCATGCGGGACTTGCTGCTACTGCAAAAGCGGCGGGACTGGACTCAACTTCCAGTGACGTGTTCGCCCACATTCAACGGCCGTTAGGTCTGCAAATAAATTGTGCGCTGCAAAAACAATTCTCATTCTGCATTTCTGAGCTACCCATGCTTCCCCTTAGCATCGAAGAGCTGGCAAGGCTTATTTGCTGGCTTGGTGGAGTGCCATCTACTCAGTCAATAAACTCACCACTTCCCGAACTTCTAGCCCTATTTACCCTTTGCTTCGAGGAAGTACCAACAGCGTCAGATACGGGTATCAACAAGCAGCTTGCGATTTCTTGACGAAAAGGAACTGTTTTCTGACTATCTAACGACTCGTTGTGCACATTTTGCCCAGATAACCTGTGCTTCTCTTAGTAGAATGCATGCGACATGTTTCAGGCTTTAGAAGCTGCTTTAGGTCCATCTTCATTCTAAATTGCTTGAGAACTGTGGGGTAAGCAGACGTCCGGATGCGCATACAAGAGTCGTTGCGCCGCTGCAACCGTGGAAGGGGAGGCAAGCATTTCTGTCTCTACCGTAGCATAGCAGTGTCTGTGAGACCTTTCCACTGGTGAATTTAGAGTCATCAAGGGACTTCTGTATTGTCCCTCAGGAGTTGTGTCGTACACATTTTTCGCAAACTCAATTTTTACCTCTGCAAGCAAGCCCTGCATTCACAGGGGCGCTTCATAATTTAAAAAAAACTTCGATACCTCATGTACAAGGCTTCAGCAGTCTATAGGATGGACTGGTTTAGCATACCGCTGCGTTATCCATCCACAGAGCCAAAGTTCAGTAGACAATGCAACGCAGTTTGCCGGAAGGCATTGCCACGTTTCATACAATTTGGGCCTGCCTGAAAATGCTAAGCTCTTATTTGACCGTCTTCCGGTGAATCTTTGAGACAAAATTTGACAAGGCTTAACTGGGCTTGAAAACAGTGGTCTTTTGTTGATCCGGATGCACTGAAGTGTACTGAGAGGAGACTTTAGCCTATGTGATACACCCCAGAAGACGCTCCCATTTTTTTAGGGAATGGGCCAGGTGTCTACACAGAGCGGGGATGCAAACGCCACCTATCAGTAGGCTACCTCTCTGAATTTTCAACGAGTCAGAATGCCACTCCCCCTACACCGTGATTCGCGCTGTTCCAGAGCGGTTGGAGGCATTTTGCCTGCGGGCAGTTTGGCACACAATTCCAACGTCCAGCCATGTGTAGAAACATGATTCCTACACAGAGTTGAGCTTTGGTGTGCGCTGTAGCAGTGAAAGAATAGAGGCACAGCTCCCTTTACGTGAAAACAATGATTGCCAAGCGCACTACTTCTTTTGCCCGTAAACGAGCTTGAAAATATAAAAAGGAGTTTTTCAAACTCTGAGACCACCGAAAGAATTTTAGCAGTCGCCGCAGTCACCGCAAGAATGGTAGGGCCACCTTGAAAAAAATGCTTGTGAAATACGTGGTAAACGCAACTCCACAACGGAGAACGTTTACAAACGCTTAGTCTAAACAAAATTTGACACGAACGACGTACTCGTTCTAGGATCCAACGTCTTGTAGCTTACCTAAAGTATTTTATACATGCGCAATGTGGGGAATAAAATGTCGGAAGGAAGCGTTCANGGCTCTAAACGAGTCGGCTTCTTGGTAACATGGACTTGCCTACCGAAGGTACCTCGATATTCTACTCTTTCGCAATCGTGAATGCTTCCTCTCGATCGCTTATTCCCTACGTTTCCCTGGACCTTCTCCTCTTCAATCAAATTATTGCAACTTGTTCAGGAGAAGCAGCAAGTCTTGAGCTGTCCGTGTCTACACTATTTTTCTGTCTCCTTTCCCAAACAACGGATTTCCTGGTCGAGGGGTAGGGATCCCCAGTACTGACTGTGCGTTTCTGGGTTTCACCAGCGCAGAGGCAAAATGCATACTTCAACCGGAGTTCTCATGTAAAACATGGGCTATGCTTTGGTAGACGAACACTTGTACTTATATTCAAGATAACTGTTCCTCTGAGAACTCCCGCGCATCTCAATGTCGATAGAGGGTGTATCACCAATGCCAGGCCATCATGGCCGCCCCAGTTACACAGCTTTGGAATGATCGCGAACATGGGAAAACAAGCACCCCAAAGACGTTATCAACATAAAAGGGCGGAGAAATATGGTTTGTAACTGCTTCATCCCCTCGTTCAGACCAGCTCACGTCGATAGGTGGACGGCTGGAGAATTTTCATAGCAGTCTCAGATGCACAACTCCCTCCCTCCGTCAGCAGGCACAGATATACTCACTCACCCCCCCTTTTAAAAGACTGGGTGTACTGTAGTGATTTTCCCAAGCAGCATATACTTTAATTAGGGAAAAATGAGAACCGCGTAATGGTGAGCACTCTTTCGACGGCCTCACCTTAGGAGCCGACATAGCGGGTATGTGGGACTCACGTGTACTTGCGTTTGCTTTTATAGGTCGCTGCTGGTTGGCGATGTGCCTAGGGCGGTGGGTCATCATGCACGAGCTGTATTTTTGTAGTGCTCGGCATTGCAGTAAACCCGGGATATTGGAAAAATATAACGCTCAACATCTTACGACAAAGGATTTAGATACGTGTAGATGGCCTTTTCTAAAATGTTGAACACGGACTGCTGGACCTCACGCCGCCTGAGGTTTGGTAGAACAAGCACCTGATGCAACAACGCGCTGTGCAAAGCTGGGCAAAGGCGTTCGGTTTTGACTGCCTAGAAAGCCCCTAACCGCAAGCTAACGAGTTTCACCTTCCCTAAGCGTCCTACTAGAGGTACTCAGTGAGCTTGAGGACTCCACAATTTATTTGTATGTCTTGCACCTCTGCCGAGACGCAGTGGGGGTCCCGTGTGGAGAAACCCGCAGCGGCCCGTCGCCTTCCGGACGGAGTACATTCCACTGCCCCTAGGCAAGGGAGGTGTCATGGCGACCTCAAAAGATCAGTTGTTCCAGCTGATACTACTGAGAGCATGCCTCAGATGAGCTATCGCATTCCAAAGCAGTCGTGGTACATATCAGAAACGTTTTCCCTGTGTTTTGCTTATCTGGTCCTTGAAATATGCCCATTTTTTAGCATGGTCTGTGCGAAGTTGGTACGTGCTTCTCTACCTGTGGGCAAGCTGGTTATGGAGTGTTCAACAATTATGTACAGGGTTAGGGGGCTTCGGTATGTTTGCATGTGGGGTTGCTTTTTCAACNGGAGTGTTCAACAATTATGTACAGGGTTAGGGGGCTTCGGTATGTTTGCATGTGGGGTTGCTTTTTCAACGCTACTTACAGCTAGGAGCGTTGAAACTCATGCCGGGAAACCTCCTCTCCCCAGGCGCCGCACCCTTGGGCCGCGCAAATGCTTCTCAGAAACTGTGATAGTAAGTTTTTAACTCCACTGTAGCTAGCTGTGGCCCTCGAAAAATATCGACGACTCTCGTTACACTACTCCTTCAGCGTTGACGCCATTTTACTGTATAAATTCTCCCGAGAAAAAATGCGTGAAATATCATCATGCGGATTGTAGATAGTCTCCCGCACTTGCAAAGGAAGTTTAAGCATTAAACTTCTTTAAAAGCTAATTGTTTGGGAGGCGCCTGCTGTGGTTCCGGAGTAGTTGGTGGTCCTCCCTCTACTAATGGGCAGTGCCGGGACGCCGCCAACAATGCTTCCAGTCCTGGCATGCTTTGGAGCTGGCCAGATCCTTGTTTCACTTGTGCTCTCATGTTGCACTCAGGTAGCGGCTTATAACATATTTTTGTTAGGTTGTGATGCACACATGAAAAGCCTGCCTCCAATCACAGCAAACCAAAGAAAGCACCTTGAATGATCAGTCGCCTCTCCGCTGACTCGGCAGCAGCGAATAGTAGCAGCATTGGCAGATGCCGCCTGCCCTTCCCCTCTATCAGTTTCCTTTTCGTCGCCTTTATTCGGGTTGCACGCCCTCATGTGCCTGTCTACCCGAGAAAGGGTGGGGGCAGAGAGGCAAACGCATATGTAGAATTTGGTACGCGTACGTCTACTTGAGTGAAGTATAGCTGCGGAGGGCAAAGAAAGCGTTTAATAGTACTCTACAGCGTTAGTTGCATGTGTGAAAGGGATTCGTTATGCTGGCATATACAGATAGTTGTGAACAAGTCCTCCCTGATGGCAGACAAGCTACAGCTCACCCATGGAACGCGGCGCAATTCTGAGCTGCGCTACCCATGCTGGCGCTTACAGTCGCTGCTATTCACTTGAGAGAGGCCTGCCAGTATTGCGAAGGAATAGTTTAGCGCAGAAACCTACTGGATGCTTGGTACCGTGGGCGTTTCGGTGAGCGTGGGAAGAACCAAGTTGCACGTGTTGAAAGTGGCTGCTGAACGTCGTTTGTCGCAGTTTCCTACTTGACTTTCTCGTGCTTTCCTCCTGTATTCCCACGCTTCTGCAAGTTGCGCATTGACGCTGGCGGGTTCGGGTATTCGGGCTAGCTTCCAACAGCCAGGTCCAACGTGGGATCAATGAACGGTGTTTTGGTGTAGAGCAGGGATTCTGGAGAGTAAGGGGTCGGAGAATGGGCTATTTTACTGTAAACCCATTCCGAAGACGGAATGGAATCAAGCTACTTTGGTAAATTATTGTAAAGCGAGCTTCCGGTCTTACTGAAGGACCAAGATGAGCTCCAATGAAGCCCAAGTCTTGATGCAAGAGTTCCCCCCCCAAAGCATCTGACCTCTTTCCCCTGTCCCCAGGCATCTTTGGCCTTGAGCTGAGGGCCTTGGGGACGCGGGGAGGAGACAGCCTAAGAGGAGTGGCAGCGCACCTCGCTGCGGCTAGCGATGCAAGCCAGTCTCACGTCTGCATACCAGGAAGCTTCAACGAAACCTCCTTTACTGCAGCCTTTACCTCTGTAAACGTTTATCTAGTGTTTAGATTTGCTGGCAAGCAACGTACTGAAGGCCAAGTGAATGTTCGTATGCTAACTACAGGATTATCTGTGTGCGTGTGTGTGTGTATGTGTGTGTGCGTGCGTGCGTGTGTGTGTGTGTGTGTGTGTGTGTGTGTGTGTGTGTGTGTGTGTGTGTGTGTGTGTGTGTGTGTGTTTGTGCTTTGACTCTGTTTCCCGGTGGCCGGTCGTCTGGTTCCCAGTCCACGAGTAAGGCTTGCAGGACAATCGAAACGCAACTGCTTTTCCCTGCCACACGGGCTTACGGCAGGCAGCCGCATCAGCAAAACTCCCTTTTAGGCACCGTTTGAAGACGTTTGAAACTGCGTTTACTTCTAGGGATGCAATCTCTTTGCATCCACACGCATG